TTTTTTTTTCTATTTTTACTGCTCAGGAGTATACAGTACATAGAAAACAGTGACAGTTCACACCACATCCACATCTGTAAAACGGTCCTGAAACCATTGATACATGGTGCCTGAAATTGTTACATATAAAACACTAATAATTAGACTCATCACTTATAAAGTACACAATGTTTTAAAGTCTATACAAACGGGCTGCTTCCCCCCCACTCCTCATACAATGTTATGAACAGGGCAGAAAAATAAAATGTCGTACACATAAAAGCTATCTTTAGTTCATGGCACTGTGTACACGTCTGTCAGAAGGAGGCTTCAGGTCAGTATTTACAGAGAAAGTGTCGTCGGTTAGTCACCTCCTGTGTTATTTACACTGTTACACCGCAAGATTCATGATGATCCACAATTGTGCTTTACAACAAGACAAGTCAAATACATGTCGCTCAACAGGGTTCTTTTAAAGGAGCAGCTTGGCATTTTGGAAACACGCTTATTCGCTTTCTGGCTTAAATTTGTAACAATAATTTGCTTCTTCTTTCCTAATTTGTGCAAAATCCAAAACGTAAAAAAGACAATTGACTGTTTTCTGCGTGCTGATGTGCAGGGCAGAGCCAGGTGACCTGTGCTGAGCTAAACTAACCATGTTGACATACAGTTACATGTTACTGGACATTATAGTGCTGCCATAAGTTTGATCATTTTACTCAAATGTGCTTTTATGATGTATGTTGAGGCTGCTTGGCTCAGAAACACTAGTGTAGAAGCCAAGAACGTAATAACGGCCGATAATGTAATAATGGCCAACTTTTGGCTAAGTGGTTATTACATTTTCAAATATATATATATATATTTTACCAGGCCAATAACGTAATAACTTATTATGTTATTGGCCAAAAGTTATTACATTATTAGTTCAGGACTTTCATTACGTTACTGGCCAGTTATTACGTGATTGGCCTATTACATTTTAAAAAGTGCAAATTTACTACATTATCTGCCCTTGTTACATTATCGGATGTTATTACATTATTGGCTTTTACAACTAGTAAATACATAAATCAACAAATAGTAATCATTTTTACTCTTACTTGAGTACATTTTAAATTGATATCAAAGATGCTGATATTGATAAGGGATTTAAAATTAAATATTAGTAACGGATTAAAAAGAACCACAAAATAAATATGGCACGTTCTTTAGTGTAAGTTGACATATTTTTTCTCATGTATAACTATATTATTTATACTTGTTGCGATTATTATTACTATATTATGTGTACATTTGAAAAGCGTTGTATTTAATGTCTGCATGGCCACATGATGACGGTAGGTGTAATGTTACATCCACTGCAGGAAAGTTCTCAGGTTCTCTGCAAGTGGGTGGAAAGTATGTGCATTTACCAGTTTCAGCCAAAATGAGTTCAAAAATATTGTGCCTTCCTAATTTTTAGAGGTAAATTGTTATTTTTTGGAACAACTCATTATGCTAGTTTTAGTCCTTAATCATTTATTTCAGTGCATTTTGAAGATGTATTATATAATTTTTTAAGTTCTAAATGAGACATCAACCATACGTTGTGGTCACTGTGAGTGTTTATGGTGCATTTGTCAGTCAAGGTTTCCTTAAAATGAAGCTGGATACACAAAACACCCTTAAAGGGTTTGTTAAATAGTTAACTCATGTATTTAGGGTTTTCTGTTGATCTTGGTCTATACAGAAAGAATCACTAAAATCATAGCAACAGAAGTAAAAACAAAAACGTAACATTCCTCTGAACAGATCCAGACTTCTTGATTTTATTTTTATTTTTTTTTCCATATTCTCAACATTTGTTGGTTTCTGTTACTTGTGCATCAAATGTACTTGTAGTTTGTCCTTCCAGGATATATAAAAGGTATATATATGTGTCTCTCACCTGACCTTTTCTTCTTGTCTTTTTTTCTGCTGTTTCTTTTACAGTTACAGGGTAAGTTTGTGAGGTGACGACGGGTAAAGTCACTTTCAACACAGTAAATGTTTTCCCTTAAAAATTTTAAGGGATAATGTAGAACACCTTAAGTAAATCCCTCAGCTAAGGAGAAATTAAAACTTAAGTGTCACAATTAAGGAGAAAACTTAAGGTGACTGTATTAATCGTCTCATCCAATGATGCCAAAAAGCAAATAGGCATATTAACCAACATGTCAAAGCTAAGCTGTATGAAAACAGCGCTGAAGAATCTGCACCATTCATCTTCATATAATACATTTGAAATAACTTTAGAACCATAAAGTATGTTTGAGTGCGGAATCTTTAAAGTGGACAGTGCAAAACTAAGTTAGTCGAGGCTTCTATAGTTTGATCTGGGTACTACAGCAGTCCCTGTACAGACTGTACACCTTTAATCAGTGCTAGCTTATTTCTCTGTAGAAAAACAACTGTCTAGTAAAAGATCAGACAATAAATAACAAACTTCATTAGCAAATACGACAAAACCTCAGTGACTTTCATCCGTCGAGGATATCAACCTGTGGGAGGGAGATCACGCAACAAATGTTCATCATGACTTTGGAAACAGCACCTGGAGGTTATTTAGCAGATGTTCTGGAGATTCTGACCAAGTTGTCATGAAACAGCTGATATTTTGAATGTAATACAGGTGAGCAGTCCTCTGCTGCTGAGGAAAACAGTGATTCTGTTCAATCCGACTGGACCTGGCAGTAAAGCTGTTTTGTCAAGCAGAGAACTCCTTCACACCTTCATGGAAAAAAACTCATCTTTAAGTAAAGAGTCTGCAGAGTGGTCCTTTGACTCAAGGTCCACTCATGAGCCTTCTCTTCAGCCTTCATTTTGCACCTCATGATCTTCACCAGCAGACAGATGCAGGAATAAACTCTTTAACATGACTGTAAACTCAGGATGCATCCACTGATGTGGACATGACAGGAAGATGACAAGCAGATCATGATTTAAAATATATTTTTGTCAATTTCCAAAGTTAACATTGAACTTTTCCCATTTTAGGCAATCTTGTTTCCAATCGGTTAACATTTAAATTAAAATAGAAGATTAGGGCACTAAAAAAAGTTGTAATATTTCAAGAATAAATTTGTAATATTCAGGAAAAAAAAATGAAATACTGTGAAAAAAGTCCCAAAATCTACAGATCAAAATCATGATGTTTTTAGCCTCAACTAGTTCTATCATGAAAAAGTCGTATTAAGAGAGTAAAGCTGTTATATTTTCAGAATAAAATTGTTGTATAGTCATAATATTTTGAGACTAAAATTGTCCTATTTTGGGAAAAAGTTAAAACAATAAAGTGCTAATATTTCTTTAAATCAGTACTATTGTGAGAATAAAGTTTTAATATTAAAAAAATAATAAAATATTTGAAGAAAAGTATAAGAATTAAAACATATTGTAGGTATAAAGTGATAAAATAAGATTTTAATATGTGAAGTTGTATTACACAAAGAAGACCGTATTATCAGTCTTTACATGTAAAAAGAGGAAAAGTTTCATGAATAAGCCTCTCAGCTTTTATCAGAGCTTTTAATATACTGATAATACATAAAACCAGTCACACATTGTATGAGGAACGTTTTGTTTGTTTTGTCTTTTTCCTCAAAATATTCCAATTGTTCTGCTCAAAATATAACAACATATTTCTTAAAATGTAGCTAATTTTTCCTTAAAATGTTCAGACTTTTATCCTGATAATATTACAACTTCTTTTGCTCAAAATTAAACGTCCATTCCTCAAAAGCAGAGGTCTCAAACTCACGGATGATATTTTGTGAGCCCCTACTTGACATCAAAGTTTAGTGTTCGTGCGGCCTGCGTGTTTTTCTCACACACACCTACACGAGTCGTTGCCCTGGGCGTTTGATATTTTTTTTATCACTTGTGGGTTACCACAGCTCAGGCTCGTGACAGCAACACAAATTAGTAACGTTAGTCCCTTGAAACGTCATTTGAGAGTCTCATCAAGTGGAGGGAAAATATAGCCTGTTTTCTTTTTTCCTTTTTCTATTTATGTGAAAAGCTTTTCTCCACCATGAACTTTAATACAGGTCCAAACTTACTGATGAGCATCTTCAAGCCATACTGAGGGTCTCAATTGTTTCCTCCCTCAAGCCAAATGTGGCTCAGCTGTGTAAGAGGAAGCGCTGCCAGGTCTCTTGCAGCAAGGAGGAGGTAGGAGAAGCCTTTGTTCTGAAGAACCTTTCATGTTCTGAATTGTTATTAATAAAGATTGAGAAGATTGGATCAGTTGTACTTTTTTGGAATACCTTAAACCCTTCTTTTGTGGAATACGTGATGCGACCCAGCCTCACCCAGACTCTACCTCCAGCGGCCCCCAAGTAAGTTGAGTTTGAGACCCCTGCTCTAAAGGTTCCTACTTTTTAGCTCAACCTGGAACAACTTTCATCTCAAAACATTACAATGTTTTTTCTTAAAAATTCCTCAATTGTCTCAGTTTTTGTTGAATTGAAGAAACTTTTTTTGTCATTATGTTCCAACTTGTTTTCTCAAAGTATGAAGACGATATGTATGTAATGTCATTTTTTTGCTCAAAATATTACAAGTTATTTATTGTTTTGCTAAAAAATATTCCCAAAAAGTCTTTGTTCTGAAGACGTGGCAACATTTCTCTTTAACATCGTGCCCTTGTCTTATGAAATTAAGACTTTACTGTTATTTTCCTTGTAGTTGCCCTTTTAATCCTGTTAGTTGATGCACTAGAAGAGAGGCTTTATTAAACACTACTAAACATAAAACATCAGTCTAATGCATGACTTGGCAGTATCACTCTGTGATTGGTTTAAAGCCTTACAGACTGAGGAATGTAATGCAGAACAAAGGAGTGTTGAGGTTGATAGAGGTGCTTCGTTTTCCCTTCAGCTTTAACTGTGCTTCGCTTTGTTGCATCATTTTGCTGCCAATCAACAAATAAAACATAAAAAAAAAAAGTGGAACGTCACCGATAGCTATTTAAGAAACAAAACTGAAATACAAAACGACACGTTAGAAACGACGAGTGCAGAGGACGGATTCCTTTTTGTTATAAACATCAGTATTGCACCAAAGCAGCATATTTGGACGAGCATTCTGCGAGAGTCAGAACAGTTTGTCTTTGAGGGAGAGGATTTAGATGAGGACAGTAGCTACTAGTGTTATTCATAAATACAGTATAAAAATACAATATGGAAAATCTGCAGGGGCTTTAGTTTGGGAATGTTGGGTTGCGGGGAATGCAGTGGGAGAGGAGAAGGTGTTTGAAGGGAGAAGGAAAGAGGAGAGGAAGGGACTGAGATGCTCGGCACCTCTAGAAGGTCTGATCATCGTTGCAGGACTCGGTGGCGTGTCCGAAAGCCTCGCAGATGTCGCAGTAGGGCCTCTCGTCTGCCGGGTTGCCGTGGTAGGTGGTGTGAGGTACGGAGTCGGGGCTCTGAGCCTGAGTGGGACAGTCCTCAGTGTCGTGGAGGTCGAAGCAGTCGCAGATGTCACAGAACAGACGAGGGGTCGCCTTCTTTTCACGCTTCGACACGCCTTCGTTAAAACTATGAGAGAACAGAAACGATATTACAACGAGCGTTAGCTAAAGAGACATATGATCATCTGGATTTTTCTGGACTTGTTGTCCACAAATCTCATTAAAAGACACAAACCAACAATATGTTCCATTCCCTAAATGATTTACAGTGTAAAGTTATGCTCAAAATGATTCATGTTGAAAGCAAAATTTAAATTTATAGCAAATTTTTATTTGGCAAATAAATTTCTTCCAGCTGCAAATGACATAAAGAAGTGACGTCAGACAGGAGGACCTTCTGTTAGAGATGTTAATAATACATTTGAACTACTTCTATGTTTTTTGTTTAGATTTTTGGGCTGTACCACAAAGTAAGTACAACATATTTAGGTTTTCTTTACGTAAGCAGGCTGCTGATGTAGCACTTCCTCCTTATAACATCAGGAATTGTTTGAATCAAAGAGATGAAGAAAGAGAATTTGGTCAGATCAAAGCACACTGACCAACTAACCGACCAGTTGAGTTGGACACCACAGCCATGTCAACTCACCTACCAGACTGTGGCCTGTCAAAGGCAGCATCTTGTAAAATTCCTCTTGTAAGTGAACAACACTCCATCCCAACCAGATATTATATATTATTATGTGCTGTATCCGACCAGTCAGTGAACCAGAAGATGACTCAACAGCTCTCAGCACTGCATGGCCTATTTCTCACCTCAAATTTATTCAGAAGCAAGTTTTAATGGATAATTTGGAATTTGACATTTGATGTTTCCAAAACAGAAGCAGAAACCAATAACAGGGACACACAAATGTCAAAGTGTGAGGAGACGCTAAGGGGTTGTTTTTACCAACAGTCCAAAACCTAAAAATGTTCAATTTACCATTATAGAAAACGTAAAAAAGCTGAAAATGTCACATTTCCGATGATGGAAGTATTCCTATATAAATGTTAAAATGATCATCAGAACAGCTGATGATTAATCCAGTCCATCCTCACAAAAGGAGCTTGTGAAGCTGCAGTTTTCCAGTCATTTCATTTTTAAAAATTGTTTTTCTTACCCATCAGTCCCGTCGTTGCCGTTGAACTCAGTCAGTGCGAGCTTCTTCAGTTTGATCTTCAGCTCCTCGTTCTTCCGCTGCAGGTCCACAATCACACTGTTCAAGAAGTTGATCTGAAGGAGACAATCAAGCAAATGTCACCACCTGAACAATACGTAGCACAAATAGAACTGAACACTACAAATGTCCTGATCTGATCTCAAAGATTAGGATCAGGGCCAAGGATCCTTTGTTTATGTCTGCTGTCACTCAGGACTCTAGGGAGGCACATTTTGAATAGCTTTCTAGATCAATAATCAGAAGTGTTTTCATTCAATAATGGATTAATCAAAAACACAAATTGAACCCAGTGGACATTTGTCCTGTGTTGGTATGAAGCTCTGGTTAGAGGACATCAAGCATCACAGAAGTCTTCATGGTGCCTGTTGCTAGTTAAACTCCCACAATTCTTCCTTCTTGCCAGCATACAACTGCCTGTAGTGATGCCTCCTCACAACAATACTAAACAATAAGAGACTCCACCTGGTGGAACAACCAGGTACTGCAGCTAACCTACAGCACATTTCCTGAATTGCATGTGGAGAATACAGGTTTTTACCATGTTTTGTAGCTTGTGCAGCCACAGTAGCCCGACCCTCTAACACTACACCCAGAGCTTTACAACACGATTCATCACCATCTACATATATTAAGGCACAGCTTGCATGCAGAAATGCAACTTTTTTTCAATACATAGCAGAACTATTCAGTTGTAAAGAATACACATTGGACTGATTTTAGGAACCTTTATGTACTTTAAGTATGCATTATCTAGGAAAATGGTATCAGACTTGGACTTGGATTGGATTAGGGACAAAATTGGTTGACATCCCTACTGAAAACCCTTAAAGGCGCTTGTAAAAGGTATTTGTGGATGGTCTCACCTGTCCCTCAGCGAACTCCTTCTCTTCCCTCAGCTGCTCCAGAGCTGCTTCACCTGCGCAAGAACCGTGAATCAGAAAACACGTCAACAAAAACAGATTTCATCTCAGATGCAGAGCTCATGGGAAACATCTCCTCACCTGAGGGTGGAGCTTCCCTATCTTCTCCCTCTGAGGCCTGTGTTCCCATTAGCCTTTCCTCTAGACTGTGAACTCGGCTTTGCAGCTGAGCCTTGTCTCTCTCCAGCGTCTCTACAGCCGACTGCAGGGTCTTGGCCATGGCATTTTCTCCTCGCAGCACTGCAATCTGCAGCGACAGAGCAAACACATAAATACTTAACACACTTGAGATTACACTGGATAAATATACAGCAAGTCAGGTTTCAGTACCTCATTTCTCAGCGTTTCCAGCTCCCGGTCTTTGTCGGAGATTAAGGCGCCAGTAGATTTCTGGAAGTTGACATCTCCCTCTATTTCCTGATTAGAGATGGTTTCTCTGCAGAAAAATGTGGAAATTTAGTGACTATAAATGTGGCGAAACCACATCAAACAAAGTTACTCAAAAGTTTACAAAGAGTGAAATCACAAACAGACAGAAAACTGGATATGCACACATCTCTTCCAAAAGATTTTTTTTTATTTTTTTTGCTATTTCCTTGCTAATTTAATTGGTAAAATCTCTCTGAAAAGCGTACTCTGACTGTCCAGCTGCCAGAATAAGGATAAGAGAAGAGACGCATTGATAAGACATGCTGATGGATTCATCTAGGTCACCTTCAATAATTACCAGAAGCTCACGGATATTTTAAGCTTTGTGTGTTTTGGGACAGTTTTTGCCCTCTCAGGCAACATACAGGCCGGCCTAACCTGACTACTTTGTCCCAAATCTGCACCACTTACTAATTCTAAACATATGTTGAGTATGAAATGTGTTCACTCCAGAAAATGGACTATTAAAGTGACTTGTTCTAGTCATTGTGTTGACTAAAAAACCCTGCAGTGTGCTGTAGAGAGATGTTTATGCTTAGAAAATCCTGATATAACATCAGAATCACTTCAGTCTTTGTGTTTTATTTTTAAATTTGTCAGAAATGAATGGTTTATATGAACCAGATTCTTTAAAAAAGGCACTCTTTGGCACAACTGACATACCATTATGGAGTGAAACTTTCAAAGGCCTTTTGGCTAAACTGCAGGCTGTGTTTACACAGAGCACATTGGAAAAGCATGGAAACAAACTGTAAGTAGTAAAATATAATGTGGTGGCATGTGGGTTCTCCAATGGCCTGTACTGATGACAGCAGTGATTGCACATGGGGTTTTTTGGCCACAACAGAACAATCATCCCTCTCCACTGGCTCTTTTTGCCAGATTTGGTTCCCTGTAACTTTACCGTCTTCCTTAGTTAAAGAGTCGCTGTAGGAGATTCAGCTCATTGAAGATTGTGCTTGACATGTTTATATATTGGCGCTTCCAGAGGCAGTGTGGTGGAAGCATTGGGAACACTGTTGCACAAGGAGGGGAGTCTGACAGGGATGGGGCACCAAACTCAAGTCTGTTATGGTGTTTGAATTTTATAGGGACAGATTCTGAAGTTTTCTGATGGCACCTTGTGTGCATCACACCATCGGTATCCTTGTATCTTGCATAAGATACAAACAAAACTCTAAATAAAACATAACTCTGTTGCGCTACTAGTAGTGAAAAACTCAGCAGGGTACCTTGATCCTAAAGTGTACTCAAGTTACAGCATCAATACAGTTCTAACACATAAACCAAGTAAGACAACAAGAAGCAAGAAACTGCCTCCAAAATCAATCACAATAAACCCCAGCTGCCAACACCTCTGTGTTACAGTCATCCTGAAGAGTCAACGTGAGGGGAAGCAGGTTGTTTCACTGCTTCACATCGCTTTTCTTTCTCAATGTTCGCTTGAAAACACTCTCTTCCTCCACATCTATTATTTCTGCCCTAATTGTACAACAACCTCTTCGTTTCCCTCCAGCCGACACCACACAGCTGCTGGCTCATGTCTCATCCTTCCTCCTTCCCCTCCTGCTTCTCTGATCCTCCACCACATACTTTGAAACACGGCTGTCATCCTGCTTCAACCATCTATCATCCCCACTTTATTGAACATTCATCTTAAGTCGCTGCTCTGTGGAGGCACCTAGATGTTTTAATCTTCTCATTATTGAGAGAGAGGTTTCTGTTTCTGACGTGCACAAGTACAGAAGAGTTATATTCATGGCTTCTTTTGTTTCCAGACTTAGAAAGGGCTTAAAATAAGACCAAGAGCATGGTGAATAGATGAAAAAACTAAAATCAGATTTAGAAATGCAATGGTCATCTTTAGTACAGTACACATCTGGCTCTATTACAAAGAAAAGTGATTTGATCTCATGCAAATCAGGCTGCAGCTAAGTCTTTCATTAACCCTGTGAGCAATGGACCACTCCAGGGTGATTTCATTATCTTTACTTTTAATTTTAATAGGACTACCCATACATGCTGTATGCTCAAAACATAGCTCAGAATGAACAGATTCCTCTGAGAAACGTAATATAAAAATAAACAAATGCCCTTAAGCAACATTCAGTGTGTATTAACATGCCATAAGCACTAAATTAAGTATGTAAGGTTTATAAAGGCTAAATAAGGGGTTAAAATAAATCTAAAGCTGGAGAAATAGTTATACAATATAAGTGTTCACACACAAAGTAGATTCTAATGTAGACAAGGTAACTGTGACTATGATGTGCTAGCAATTTAATATCAGTTAAAATTATTTTATTTTGAAAAAGCCCATCATATTTTTAATTAATGGAGTGCCTACAACTAATAGTTATATTTTTAAAGTGTGTTAAAAATCTGAAAAACAGCAGGCTTCTTACCGGGTCTTCATGTCTGGCTGTTGACTGCTGCGGTCGTCATTGTGCTGAGAGGAAAACACAAACACAGAGGAATTTAAATAGAGCCTAAACCTGTCTGAGCTTAAAGAGTTTACTCACAGCAGGAGGGCAAACTCACAACACCAAATCCTAATAATAAAAACCACAGATTCTGGCTTAACCAAGCCTGGATCTATAACAGGATGAAGGATCATTTCCATAATATGAAATATGTAAAGGCCACTACCTCGTCAAGATGTTGAGACTTCTGGGAGGCCAGCTTCAGCTCCTCACTGAGAGTGAAAACAGAGAAAGGAGAGCAGACACATATAAGCGCTGAGCTCAAAGCAGTACAGTCAGATATCTGTGTCATGATCACTGCTGTATGCTTAAATCTGGTGGTGGCAGATGTGAACATCTGTTAGCACCACTTCAACACACAGTGGCACACACAATAACTAACAAGCTAAATCATTTCCACGGCTCTTTCTGTGCGCTGGTACATGATCCAAATGCAAAAATAAGTGCTTTTTGAGTTTTCAGGTGAATTTCAGGCTGTGTCGATACCCCATCTCATGACGGCTGTTGATGAGGCATGATCATCCAGCTTATGTGTTTTCTGTTTTATGCATTTTAGATATAGTGGTATGTATATTTTGTATTTTTTCTTTTGAGTTCCCCACCAATCAACCAGACAGTGATGTTCCACTGAAAACTGTGCAGATCAGCTCCTCTGTGAGTCATAACACATTTCTGTGCATACACTGAATGGATGCATTATCAGATCTCAATATGGCGCTACCAAGCAGCAACTAAAATGGTATGATGGTAAAATCAATTCAAATGTTCTTTACAGTGCAAAACCACTGATGGTTGCAAGGTGCTGCCACCAACAAATTTCAAATCAAGGAACGTCAGCTTTTTTGTAGCAATACTGTCAATTCTTTTCTCAACAAGTCATTGCTGTCTCAACATTAATGGTATATAAAGGATGGATTTAGCCACTGTGACGTCACCCATTTCTTTGTGGACTACAGTTTTGAAACCTTAAGTTTTGAATTTAACCATCAGCATTTTGGATTTTTGAAACCAAACAAGTCCTGCTCTAAAACAGACCCAGCCTGGTCATCTATTTTCCTCTAATTGGGACCGTAATTTACTAAATGACCACCATGCTGTATTGAAGGACACTTGAAACTAGCAATAAACTCATTAGGAAAACGTTTACTGAGGTAACAGATCAAGTAAGAATCAGGGTGGTTTCTCATAGGTTTCTGTACACTCAGACTTGTTTTGGCAAACAAATGAGTCGCCTCCTGCTGGCTGCAGGTTAAAGGTACTTGTGCAATGGCTTCACTTTTCAGACTCAGAGGCTACGTCTTTCAATTACTAAATTCAGGCCTTTGAATATAAACTCCATCAATAATATTGCATGTAAGGACTGACTAGAACACTGGAACACACTGAAAATACATAGGACATTTTTTTTGAGTGTTCAATTACAACAAAACTTCTGACAGGAAACTTCAACTTCAAAAGGTCAAGTGCTACTCATAATGCATTTTTTAAGTATGAAGTACATGATGAAGTACTGATTAAGCCAATCAGGGAAATTTTTAACTGATCAGTAGCGTCATGAACCTAAGCCTGAACCAGAGGGAACATCACGAACATACATTTTTGCATCACATTTGTTATGTGGAGATCAGAAAACTTGATCTTTATGTCTGTAATGTTGTGTTGAGCAGGCAGGACCAGGAGAGAAAACAGTACCAAAAACATTTTTTTTTTTTTTTACAAAAAGCACAAATCCAGCATGAGATTAAAAAAAAAAAAAAAAAGGCTTGAAAGTTGTATTGGTTTTCACAAGAACTGACTCATATTTCTATAAACCAAAACCTAAAAATAAAATTATCTGAATAATTTCACAGATGCTACAGTCACATAGAAATTCTGCACAAATCAAATGATTTGTTGTATGATTCTTGTCATTCTTTTCCTTATGAACTTTTCAAAAAGCAGCCAAATGTTTAGACTTTGGACTAAAAGAGCTGAACTAAACCCAACAGTGAGCATATATATATATATATAGAGAGAGAGAGAGTACTGAAATGCAATGATTTGTAATCTGCTGACTAATTCTCATCATCCAGAAAACCATCTGTTGGCCCATCTCTGCTGCTTAGGTTTCACTGTTACACCCTCTGGTTGTAAACATCTTAAAGGATTTGCTGTGGTTTTTATACAGTAATGTTATCCTCCACAATGTGTACTGCAGTGACTGGAAATAGCATCAGACATACTAAAGCTGATACTGTAATCTGTGCAATGGATCAAATGTGGACGCAGAGACGGCTGAATAGACGATCCTGTCTGGGAGTTTATGAATCTGGATATTCTTGGATGCTGGAACTAAATGATTTCCTGGAGAAATTGAGTTTAGCCCCATGTGGGTCATTCATAGGATTTGTGTCAAAGGAAGAACTCTAAGAGCTATGTGTGACTAATAGCCGGGTCTGAGCACCATCTGGGGGAAATATTTAGCTGCCTGCTGTATAATTACATCCACCAAGCCTTTATAGCATCCTGCACTCTGACACAACAGGAGCTGGCTGACTTACAGGGGAACAGCCCTGTCAAAAATCTGTATTTAAAAAAATAAATAAAAAATCTTTCAATATCACTGCTTTTGTTGGTGCACAGACTAAGATGGATAAATGCTCTGTTGCAGCAGAACCACAGATGTAGCAGAGAACCCAGTGGGATTAGCTTCTCCAATCTTATCTGTGGAATAGTTTGACACATACTGTATAATTTAGTACTGCAAGTTTTAGACTGTAAGTTTGTGCTGTATGAATCTTCAGTTTCTGCAGACTTAAAAAAAAACTAAAAACTAAAAGAAATCCTTATACAGCTCAATATTGTTTGCTTTTGGTCATTTACAAGCAGAAATAATTGACAACAAGCTAAAAACCACACACATCTGACATTTAGTAACTGAGCTTGATGATTGGATGACTTTTCCTCTCACATCCTCACAAGGTTTGTCTTTGTGATTTAACCCTCTAAACCCAAACATATAACATAAGGTATGAAAGGCAGTTTTTAAAAAAAAAAAAAAAAAAAAAAAGCTGTAAAACAGAAAAAAAATCACCAGATTTTCAACTTTCCAAAGTTACTTTAACATATAATGTGTGACCTGTGGTTTCATTAGGAAAAATGACAATTTTAGGCTTAAAATCATGATAGTTCATCAAAATCACTTTTGCCAAAAAACAAAAACAAACAAAAATTTGCACTAGAAAACATAAAATTCTGAGCTGCACAGTGCAACTGGGGAGCCACGACTGATTAAGCTGCAACCAGTAGTTACATGATAAAAATGAATGGTGAACTTCAGCCTGAGTTTACACAGAACAGACAGGAGATGACAAGAGAGACTTAGAGGAAAATAAAACATATTTGACAAATACAATAAATGTAGCATGCCTCTAAAACTGTCAGCAAGTTGTTGGAAGAACTTTCAAGAGCTGATGTGCAGAATAGTGTAAATAGATGTAAAAAAAAAAAAAAAGACAAGTAGTTACATATCAATAGCATGTGGAGCCATTAATTTTTCCAGTATTGCTAACACCTTTGAGCATTTTTTGTAAACAAATGATCAAAGAAATTCAGCTTCTTTTTTTCTTTTTAAACTTCCAGTTCTAATCATAGCCCTAAATGCACTTGTTCGATACCCTGTTTGAATAAATGAAGGTTAAAGTCTCAGAGCTCTAATGTGCAGCTGGAAATAAGTAGCTTTACCGAGTCACTGAGAGTTTAAATAAAGATATGAACTTAGACGATTAATAGTTTTCTTCCGGCGTTCCTCTCTTGTATCATTTACGGGAGCAGCTCTTTTTATTGTAATAAATTCTTAATGTCTTTATACCCTCCATTATAACAATCTGTTGACTAAAGCAGTCCATTTTGTGCAGAAGAAGAGTCATATGATGCATTAAACGTGTCCTCCTATGTGATCACACGCAGAGTCTGATGAAGGAAATGTGGCAAACAAAGTAAAGCTAATAACCAATGTCGTGATCCTCCTTATCTCTGAATGGGGTTTTTAGGTTTTGTTGAGCTGGAAAGCCTGGCTATGTCAAATTTGCTTCATGGTACACCCCTCCGGTGTATTTTTCTGCGTTCTGCACAGTATGTGTGTGTTGATCTCTGAGTGTTTACAAAACACAGGTGACTTTACAGCTCAGCGCTGCACCTAAACGCCTCCTGAGTATCAAACAAAGCTGCTGCTCTGCTAGCGTGCTGCTCATGCCACGGGGTAAGTCATGTTTTGATTGCATAATTTGTAAATGAGGTATCTCTTTCAACAAAATCAGCAGCAAATTGTTACTGAACATGAAATGTTTAGGTATTAACTGCTGAGTTTAATAGACAAACTAATCTGGATTTGACCTGCAGAGGCACAAAAACAATACACGAGCACTAAAAACACATATGAGGGGCAGTGAAATGCCACAAAGCCACATTGTTTTCAAATGCACAAGCCTGAAAACACACACACACACAGACACACACTCTGTGATGTCACAGTGCCATGCTGGAGCCAGGCGGTCCTAGGAGGAGAGGAGTGATTGCATAACAGCATCAGAGAGAGGAAGGACGGGCTCAGAGAGGATGGAGGAATGCACTGCTGAGACGAGGAAGGATGGAAGTAGAGGCTGAAACGATGCAACGAAGGGTTTTAGCGTGACTCGTGCATTTGCAGATATTTATAGTTGTTCAGGCGTACACAGAAAAGGACAAAGTTGTTTGACTGTAGCTGAGGTCATTTGTTGACATTCTGCGTCTCCATCTGCTGCTCCTCCTACAGGACACTACATATTGATGACTATACTGCAGCCAGTTACATCCATCTGGAGCTGTGACGTTGCAGCTCGGGGCTCTGATGACTCAGGGGAGGTGTGGCAGGATGATGTAAAGACACCAAACACACTGCACACACACACACACACACACACACACAGCTTTGCACAAGCACAAAGTCTATAAATAGACCTCAGTATCAGGCTGGAGATCCACCATCAACATAACAAAAAGGCAATTAAAAGATGGAACATTTTTACCGCATCATGCTTCAGCTGCACAATCAAAGACCTGCTGCTAATTCATAATTTCATCAAAGAAGTTGTTTCCATGCCAACACTGTGGAAGACGTGGAAAAAGTCAATTATCCATCTTGATTTGTTATTACTCATATTTATCGACGGTGGGAATCTTGAAGGTTTTCTCA